TGCGAATAAACCAATAAAGGGTTAAATGACAAATTTGTTATGAAAATTTTCATTGTATTTAACTTTAAATTGATGTAATGTTTTTGTGAAAGTTTACAAAAGATACTTCAGCATCATCCTATAATAATGCTTGACTAACATTACCGTTAGTTGAACAATTCTAGTTATAGTTATTGGGCAATTTTGCTCTAAAAAATTTTTAGAATGGACAATTAGTATCCTAGTCTCTTGATTGGCAATATTGGGCATAATATTTTTGGGGTATTAATTTTTAAATTTAGAGAAAAATCTAACTCATTATCAACAACAAATATTTGTTTGTATTCTTGAATTGACCAGACTTGCCTTTAAACAAAATTCGGACTTGTCACTTGTTTCCTCGAGAGACGAAAGTAAGTTTGGACATGTCTAGTTACATATTTAAATTGACTATAAAAAAATTTTACTCATCATTCGATGAAAATTCTTTAAGATGTCTTTTGCAACTCATCCATAAATGTTTCATTAATGACATGTGCCTTTAAGAGTTGAGACCCTCACTATAGGTTTGCAACGGGTGCAAATGTGACTTTTGGCTCGATTCTAGATTGTAACAGGTTGTTGGATCATTCTTCTAAGTCGAGTTTTCATAACACAAAAAATATTATTCATTTAGACAATAAGAATTTATCCAGTGACTGAGGAGTTGGTTTGTAAGTTTTTTTTTTTTGGAGAAAAAGAAAAATGAATTATCATTAAGAAATAAGAGGTTTACAAGCTACAATTCAGAAAGGGCAGAGCAAAATGCGTAAAAGAAGCAAAGAAATTAAGGTGTCTGCTAACTACACAATCTACTTTATTAAATTGACGTAAAAGACGATTAGCTTCATGCTCAAGCCCCTCCACCGCAACCTTCCGAAGCTGTGTCAAATCAACTAATCTCCGCTAAAAACAGACAAGCTGAAGCTGAGAGCAGTTATCATCCATTGCTCTGCCCATTTTGGTAATCCAAAGCAAGATAGTCCGAAGGCAGAGAAAGTTGAACCTCCCATGATTGACAAAAGATCAACAGCAGATGAAACCTTAGGGGGGTTTTCCCCTAAATAGTACAATTGCAGACAAGGAAGTGCTCTGTTTGCATTTCTTTTCTAACAAAAGTACTATCCAACCTTTGTTAGGCAAGGAGAAATTTTCATATTCCGTGGCAGCAGCACTTCCTTTTTGTTCCGTCAATAAATGTGAAGAGGAAAAAGCCATATCCGGGTAAGTCCTCCAACCCTGGATTTCTTTAATGACCTTCATGGGTTGATCAATCCTTTCTTCATATAAGACTTGATTACACTTCCACCATATTATATTTAGAACAATGATGATGCCCTTATGGAGGAACTTAAGGTTATCATGAGAAAGCCGCATCATTATTAATTTAAGCCACGGAAGAAAAGAATCAAAGGTTGAAGCCACTATCTTAATTGACAAGCATCCAAACCACAAGGCTCGAACATAGGGGCAGAAGATGAATAGATGGTCCAAGAATTCTAGACAGTCACAACCAAATACACAGTGTGTGGTAACAGGTAGATGATGCATGTGCCAGATATCATGTGTTGGTAAGCCTTTTTTTAGTAATTTCCACATGAAAAGTAAGAATTTTAGCGGGAGTGACAGGGACCAAGGAAACTTCCAAAAATTATCACTCTGACATTGTAGTTGCAATGAACTATGAAGTTGAATTATGAACCCATATCTTACAGTATAAAGACCAGAGGCATTAGTGGTCCATCGAAAGGAATCATGCTGAGAAGAACTTAGAATTGGAATGGAAAGGATTTCTTTGATATCATTCTCAGAGTAAAGGGACCTAAGAAGAGGGAGGTTCCATCGGTGGGGGTTCCAGTTGAAGCGGGTATGGAGTAAGAGATCTTTGACCTTGAGCAAATTGAATGCTAAGAAGGATCTTAATTGCATAGGCTACCAGAGGTGGTGGTTAAGAGGGAGGGGTACAAGAAGTGGGGGAAATATTCCACCGAAGATTATCAATGATGAGTCCTGAGCTATCAAGCAAACCCTTCCAAATCCAAGAAGCATTATAAGGCTTCACAAGTAGGTCCTTATTATATAAATCCACATATTTAGTTTTCAATGTTAGAGCCAGAATGTTTGAAGTGTCCATTGAGAGTACGCGCCAAACCTGTTTAGCAAGCAGGAATTGATTGATGCATTTAGCTGGTCTTATGGCCAGGCCTCCTTGATCAACCGAGTGAAAAAAGAGATCTTTATTCTTCAAATGAATTTGATTCCTTCCATCCGTTCACCCCATAAAAAAAATTAATACAAAGACTATCCACTTTGTCACATATATGATACCGTAATTTGATGCAAGAGAGAATGTCCAGATTAGTAGCGGAGAGGACTGATTTAATGAGTGTTAGCTGAGCAGCTTGAGATAGAAGTTTCATTTTCCAACCAGCAAGTCATCTCCGTGCTGCTTCTATAACTTGATCATAAATTGGCTTCTTTTATGTTCCTGGGTCGATCCAAGTACCCAGATATTTACCCAACCTAGATGAAAAGTGGATGCCTAGAGTCTGAGAGAACCTCTTTTTGCTGCTGTGATTCACTATAGGACTGAAAACCAGAGTGGATATAGCATGGTTAATTTCTTGCCCAAACCGATAGCAATAGGTGTCAAGGGCAAATTTAATTGTAGCAATGTTCTAGTCAGACCTTTCAAAGAAGAAAAGGGAGTCATCTGCATAGAGAAGATGGGAGACGAGCATTGCGTTTTGATAGATTTGAATACCTTTCCATTGACCAGCCCCTTCTAAATGTGTTACTAAACAAGAGAGGACATTGGCAGCAAGAATGTACAAGTATGGATGAAAGCAGGTCCCCTTGGCGTGAACCAATCTCTAGGATCTAGCTCCATTAAACACTTTTGTTTGTTTTTTTTTTTTTAAAAAAGCTATTAAGAACCAAGGAAAGAGGGTGGTGTCAATCACTTAAAGGATAGTAAGTAGCAAAGGAAAGAATCTTTAAAAAGAGAATTGCAATTAAATCTAAAAAAAATAATTATTAAAAAGTTTTAATAATAACTTAAACAACCTGTAATAATAAGTATCAAATTAGAAAATAACAATTTCTAACTTATTTTTGGGACTTATCGGTAGTTATTTCATTGGCCAGCTCGTCCCCCCATATGTGGACCACAAAGTATATTGTTGCCTTGCCCGTGCAATTAATATCAAATTGTACTTGAGCAACTTGCCTTCCCCGAACAAGCACTGTAAGGCCATATTAAGCAATAGAGTGCCCCATACTTGAGAAAGTTGTTCCACGCTAATTTGGCTTGGGAAAATGAAATAAAAATGATTACTAAGTTTTAAAATTCCCAAACAATCACTTAAATAAACAAAATCCCAATTTAGATATGGTGATTAAATTAAAATTTATAAATTTATTAAAATGACTTTATTGTCCTTTATAATTTTTGTCAAAAAAAAAGACTAAGTACCCTCATTGACTAGCCAGTCATTAGAGGTTCAATGATGATAGCAGCTATTGGAGTTTAGGTGGGCTATCATCACCAAAGCTCTAGCAACTGGTCAATACTTGGTTGTCGATGCCCCCATGGTTAGCAACGATTTTTCTCTTTGGAGATTTTTACAACTCTAGTAACATGATTGGTAAGTTGTTTAACACTATTAGCAAGTTTGATATAATAGTTAACAACAGATTTTTCAGAAAATTAAAAAGCGGTATTTTTACAACTTCAATAACACTGTAACGCTATTAACAAGTTTGATATAGCAATAGGTTTTCTAAAAATTCAAAAAGTGGCATGTTTATAACTTCAATAACCCGATTACAAGTCATGTAACGGTATTAACAACTCTTATAATATAATTAACAATTCTAATTACAAGTCATGTAATGATATTAACATAGTAGCTATCTAATAAATGAAAAAAATTTTGATGTACAAGGAACTAATATTAAAACATCAATCTTCATAGGAAAATGTTGTTAATGTTGTCATGAGAATTGTTAATATCATTACGTGACTTGTTAACTATATTACTGAAGTTGTAAAAATATCACTTTTTAAATTTTCTAGACAACTTGTTATTAATTGCCATATTAAACTTGTTAATAACGTTACAGAATTTGTTAATTGTGTTACAGAAGTTGTAAAAATGTTATTTTTGAATTTTCTAAAAAACCTATTATTAACTGTCGTATCAAAATTGTTAATAGTATTATAGAACTTGTTAATTGCATTATTGAAATTGTCCTATTGTCATGTTGAACTTGTTAATAGCATTAAAAAACTTGTTAACCATGTTATTGAAAATATAAAAATTCCATTTTTTGAATGTTTTGAAAAATTTGTTAGCATATGTCATACCTCCGACAACTTTTTTTTAAAAATGATTTTTACAGTTTTAGTAATGCTATTATCAAGTTTTCAGCTGTCGTTGGCATCAAACTCCAACAATAGATCAATTGGTGAGGGTGCTTTTTTTTTTAAAAAAAATAAGGCAATATGATCGTTTAATTAAATTTGCAAATTTTAATTTAGTCACTTCTATCTAACCTGAGGTTTTATTTATTTAAGTGATTATTTAAGAATTTTAAAATTCATGAAATTTTTTCTGTCTAGGATGTTAAAATCTCGTGACCTCACAAAGTATTGGATTAATACAAATTTCGGCCCCTCAAATTTGAATCTAATTTGATATTGGTCCCTAAAATTTAAAATGCGTGGTATTAATCCCTTAAATTATGTCCGTTTAAATTTGTTGGTCCCTAGCTTCTTGACACCATTAAATCTTGTCAACATGGTATTAATATCGTTAAGGTATGAGTTGGACCATATGACTTGGTAATGAACCATTGAGTTGGCATTTAGGTGTCACATTAACTGGACATGGACCCAAAAAAACAGAGAAGGGGGATCAGATGCAAAACACAGGGGACGACCGTAGAAGAAAAACAAAAGGGAAAGGGTTTAGATAGAATCTGCACGAGTGGAGAAAGGAAAGGGTTTTCTGGTTCTGATTGTTGAGCTTTGACAAATTCCTAACCCAATCGTCAATCCTCTCACAGTTCCTGTTTTGTCGCGGGAAGTTACAGGTGATACGGTAGGGGATGAAGCTGGGGCCGCCAAAGTATTAACCGAAAGCTGCGTCTGCACTGGCAATCGCGACACTGGAATGAAGATAGTATCAAATTCTCAAAAAATTTTACGGTTAGCATCAATTATTGACTGCGGTTTCGATCCAAACATGGTGGCGATGAACGGTATGTTATCATTCGGTTAAACCACGTAGAAAATTAGAATGTTCTCTACCTTTCGCAACTGCGTCGTGTTAGGGCACTTGTAGAACACATGGAACACGGCACTAACACCTATCATCAAATTCGTCGGGATGAGGATAGGGTTCACGACTTCTACGAATTGGTAGGTCGTGAGGTTCCTGTAGCTAAACATGGAGACTTGGCAAAACATGTCTCCTTTCTTGATGGCACTGAAGGTTGAGTTGATGAAGTTGCAGGAGCAAGATAGATGAACGAAGAGGGGTTCGTTTGGGGCTAAAGTTGAAGTAGGAGAAGAAATGTTGCTTGGTCCTACAATCATAGGGCGACTAATGGAGAAGAGGTCACCAATGAAGGCATGGTCGAGGAAATTAGGAGCTGAAGCTCGGTAAAAGGCGTAGGTCCGGTAGCAAGAGCCGGTCTGGTTAGTGGACCATTGGTAACCGGTGGTGTTGGGTTGTATCCGGTCTTGAGCCTGTGAAGGATGAAGAAGATGAAGGACGATGAAGAAGAACAAGAAAAGAGGAAGATGGTGGGGTATGGAGTTTCGTATTCTCATCATTTTCTGTTTGGATCTTCTTGGTTTTCGGTCCATGTCCACTTAATGTGACACCTAGATGTCAACCCAACAGTTCATTACCAGGTCATATGGTCCAACTCATCATTTAATAGTGTTAATGTCATGTTAGCAGAATTTAATGGTGTCAAAAACCAAGGACCAACGGTCTTAAACAGACATAATTTAAGGAACCAATACTATATGTTTTAAATTTTAAAAACCAATACCAAATGTGGCTCAAATTTAAAAGATCAAAATTTGTATTAATCCCAAAGTATTCTATTCTTTGGGGTCTGTATTTGGTGCTTATCAAGTGATAAGCGCTTTTGAATGGTTCAGATTTAATATTTTAAAAAAATTATTTTAAAATAAGAAAAATATTTTTAAAAAAATAATAATTAAGATTTTATTTTTATTTTTTATTCTATGATTATTTTAAAAAAATAAAAATAAAACTAAAACTAAACTAAATCTCGACCACCCAAAGTGCTCATCACTTTTGATGAGCTCCCAAGCTCTCTCGACCATCCAATCCCAAGCTCATTCCTCTTCTTTTCCGGTTTTTCCAAACCTAGCAAGAGGAAAAAGTCTTCGGGCTTCTCACGCATCGGCCGAAGCTCACAACTTTATTAAAGCTCACAGATCGGTTCTGTTCTTTCCAATCGATCACCATGACGAAGCAGATGTTAGTGGATGTTGGCATACCGTTTCTTCCAGAAGAAATCATTGCAAACATTCTCAAACGAATCCCTGTCAAATCCCTAATCAGATTCCAATGTGTCTGTAAACAGTGGAAAAATCTCTTCCAAACTCCATCTTTCATTGCAGACCACCTCCCCCACCATCGTCACGATGATACCCCTTCTCTTCTCTTACAGTCGAATCACAGAGCTGATTCTTTGAAGTTATGTCTTGTCGATGAAGAGAATCGAGTCCGTGAATTTCAGAACCCACCTTTGATCGATTCGTTGCGAGATGCTAACGTAATCGGCTCTAGTAATGGCTTGCTTTGTGTTGAATTCGATGAATTTGGTATGTCTCCTCTTTCCCTCTTGTTGTGGAATCCAGCTACTAGGGAGGTGAGAAAGATACCTAGAACTCTCAAGTATTTTAAAGGGAAATGCATTTTAGGATTTGGGCACTGTCAAATTATTAATGATTATGGATTTGGGCACTGTCAAATTATTAATGATTATAAGATTGTGAGAGTTTATGAATTTGGTCTCGAGGTTAAGAGAGTGGAAGTGTATTCCTTAAACACAGATTCATGGAAGAAAATAAAATTTGAGAACTTGAAGGGTATAAGACTTCTTCATGAAACTATCGCCGTTAATGGTACTATGTTTTGGCATGGGTCAGAAAATTTGATAGTGTCATTTGACATAACAAAAGAAGAGTTTAGATTGATACCAATGCCTCTGAGATACCCTCAAGCACGTACTGTGCTTACAGTTTATGAGAACAAACTGGCTATGTTTTCTATCAATGCCACGTACGGTGCCCCTCTATTGTGGGTGATGAAGGAGGGCACAGGTGCATGTAAGGAGGGATGGAGTTGGACCAAGAAATATTATATCCCTCTATACTCAGGTTCAGAGAAGGTTTGGAGGGATGACATTATCTACAACTTCAATATTGAAATAGTGCCTAGACTCCGAAAGCTTATTGGATCCGAACTCATTCATGAAGCGGAGGATGGTGGATTATCGGATGTTTTGTTCACGTCCTATGTAAATCCTAATGAAGTTGCTACCTGCAAATGTGGCCATGGTCCTCATATTTTCAATCACGTGGAAAGTCTTGCACTAGTTGGACGCCATAAATCTTAATTATTGCATTATAGATTTACTTTGTTTTGGCACTTTTTGGTTTAGATCATTCTGTGTGCAGGGCTTGATGACCCTTTTCAGAAACTCTGTGATGGATTTGTGCAATTCATTCATAGCTAAAGTAACTACATATGCTTTCAAGGATTAGGTCTGCAAACAAGGTGGGTGCGTATGTGACTTCTAACTCGAATTTTAATTTAAAAGAATTTAGCATTTAGTCATAATCCAAAATTTTCTTTTGATTTTAGATTATAATGAGTTGTTGGATCATTCTTCTAATTTGAATATTGATAAGATCAGAATATTGGTTATTCATACAAACGTTTGGGATGAAGTTGCTCTTTAACTCCTAGAACTGTTCAACTAACAGCCACTGTTGGTCCAACATTACTTTTGGCATTCGATCAATTGAAAGTTAATGATACTAGCTAGGTAGGCATGCGTGATGGGAAAAAACTGAGGACTAAATGAAACATCGGAAATCGAGAAAACCTCCAAAATCCTAAACACAAGTTCGAAGACACACATTTCTCTCGGATGATCGAAAGGAGGAATAAGAAAGAGCAATTGGTAAAACCAGAAAAAGACGGAACAAAAATAATTAATTTCACCAACATCCTTTAGCGTACATTTTTATAAAGCAATTGCTTTAGTTGAGAGGTATACACTTGAGAATAAGAGAACTTTCTGGGAACTTGAAAGGGAGAGAAAGAGGGAGATGATGAGATGGAGGGTGATGTGGAAGAGAAGAAGGGAGAGATGATGAGGCGGTGTGCCATATGGCTGCTACATGAACAATTTGGTCAAAGTTGACTGGGGTAATTGTAAGGGTGATATTGCTATGTCTTTTAAACTTTTAGAGTGATACTGAGACTTCAAAAACTTTCAGATGCTTAACTCTTTGCTGTATACTTCTGGGGTAAATTTACGCTTTATTCCTTCTTCTTTTTTTCCAAGGCAAAAGTGTTTTAAATGCTCTGATTTGCTGCATGATGTATTTTGGCATAATTGAATAAATTTCACTAGTACAATCCTTAATATGAGATATAATTGATTTATTTGGAGAAATTAAAGAAACTAATAAATTATCTTAAAAATATTTGTATTTATTGTGTCTTTCTAAGCTGATTCATCACTTTTATATACTGATATATAATTTAATGATATGTATAAATCTTTTAGAAAGAAAGCATGCACTATATGCTATAATTAAGCAATTTAGTAATTTCTTTATTCTTTTTAAATTAGTCAACTATATTTTATATTAAAGATCAGAAATACACTAAACGATAAACTTCATAGCTAGTAAGGTCATAAAGCCTCTAAGAATTATATCAACAGTTATGATTGTTTAAGTAGGAGGTCTCAACTCTCGTGAACGTTGGAAATGCGTTTGAAAAAGCTAATTCTAATTAAACCTGACAATAGTTAAATCCAACCTAATAATATATTATCTCTATTCCTTAACATAAGATCCAGTTGAGTAATTTGAGTAGATTAAAAAAATTAGTTACATTAGTTATTTGTAGTAAATATGTGTTTTTTTTTTAAAATACCTTTACTAATTAAATGTCACTTGATGAAATATTTAACATGTGCAACTACCACAAGAAATAACTTGAAAAAAAATAGATAAATAAGATAGACAAAATAGATTAGGGTTGCAAAATTAAAAGTTAAATAAGTTTTTATATTAACTATGAGAGATAATATTTATAATAAAAAGCCATCGGTAAAACAGCAGAAAAAGGCAGGAAAAAGTTGGTAAGGGCTAAGAAAAGAGGTATGGTGCCAATCACGTACAGTGAGTAGTGAAGCAAAGAATCTTTAAATGGCCAGCCCATCCTCACATATCCACGAGGATTCCCATATTGCGGACGACAAAGCACATATATTGCCCATTCAGTTACTTAAGCAGCTTACTTTGCCCCGAACAAGCACTATAAGGCCATATTAAGCAATATGATATGCAATAATTGCAGAAGTTGTTTTGCCGCGTCATTTGGCTTTCCAGGGCAGTGAAATCCCGTGACCCACAAACGTGCTCTTTTCTTTTACTGTTTTGGCTAAAGGATTCGGGCTTCTCACCCATCGTCCAAGCTCACAACTTTATTTAAAATCATTGGATCACTCTATGATAAGAGATCAGTTCTGTTCTTTCCAACCGAACACCATGAAGAAGAAGATGTTAGTGGATGATGGCATACCGTTTCTTCCAGAAGAAATCATTGCAGACATTCTCAAACGAATCCCTGTCAAGTTCCTAATCAGATTCCAATGTGTCTGTAAACAGTGGAAAAATCTCTTAAAAACTCCATCTTTCATTGCAGACCACCTCCACCATCCCTGTCATGATGATACCCCTTCTATTCTCTTACAATCGAATCACAGAGTTGATCCTTTGAAGCTATGTTTTGTCGATGACAAGAAGCGGGTCCGTGAACTTCAGAACCCACCTTTGATCGATTCGCTGCCAGGTGCTAACGTAATCGGCTCTAGTAATGGCTTGCTTTGTGTTGAATTCGATGAATTTGGTATGTCTCCTCTTTCCCCTCTTGTTGTGGAATCCAGCTATTAGGGAGGTGAGAAAGATACCTAGAACTCTCAACGATTTTAAAGGGAAATGCATTTTAGGATTTGGGTACTGTCAAGTTATTAATGATCATAAGATTGTGAGAGTTTGAGTTTGGTCTGGAGGTTAATAGAGTGGAAGTGTATTGCTTAAGCACAGATTCATGGACGGAAATAGAATTTGAGAACTTGAAAGGCACAAGACTTCTTCATGAAACTGTCACGGTTAATGGTACTATGTTTTGGCATGGGTCAGAAAATTTGATAGTGTCATTTGACATAGCGAAAGAAGAGTTTAGATTGATACCAATGCCTTGGATATTCCCTGAAGCACTTACTGTGCTTACAGTTTATGAGAACAAACTTGCTATGTTTAATTTTATAACAATGCCACTCTAATGCGGACGAAGAAGAACGGTGCCTCTATATTGTGGGTGATGAAGGAGGGCACAGGTGCATCTGAGGAGAGATGGAGTTGGACTAAGAAATATTGGATCTATCCATACTCAAGTTCAGAGAACGTTTGGGGGGATGACATTATCTACAACTTTAATATCGAAATTATGCCTAGACTCCGATGGCTTCTTGGATTTGAACTCATTAATGAAACTCAGCATGAAGTGGAGGACGGTGGATTATTGGAGATTATGTTGATGTCCACTGTACAAAATAATGAAATTGCTACCTGCAACTGTGGCCGTGGTCGTCATATTTTCAATCAAATGGAAAGTCTTGCACCAGTTCACAGCACCCACGTTGAAAGATCAACGTCCTAAATCTTAGTTATTGCCTTATATATTTACTTTGTTTTAGCACTTTTTAGTTTAGATCATTTTGTATGTGCAAGGCTTGATGAAAGTATTGCTAAAGAAGCTGGGGTCATTCTCAGGAACTCTGTCATGGATCTGTGTAATTGCTTCTCTCATGCAACTTCTCTCTCCTTTACCCAAGTACTCTCAGTCTAGTGGTAACTGGCTAGGTCACGAGTGGGCGGACTTTACTTGTTTCTGGTAGAAAGATTGAGGTTCGAATCCTTTTTTTTTTTTTTTGTTAAAGCATAGGTATCTTTCTACTTGAGTTAATCCTATTCGAGACACTGTCAGGTACTAAATGTGAGCATCTCTTCCAATAGGGATTCAAACCTTGGTTCACTATATTGTGGGAAACTAGTTCCTTCTGTTAGACCCAATCCCTGTTGGTATTTGTTAAAAAAGATCTTAGGGAAGGCTCTACTTGTTGCACGGTCCGAGGGTTAGCCTTCAATTTGGATTGGGGGATGCCTTGATTTCTAACCAGAAAAAACTTTTATCTTTGCGTGCGAGGCTTTGGCTCTCAACAAGGGGATGCTGAGATTTTGAGTAGTATGGTTAGCTTATGATTAAATCTGGTTTATGAGGTAGTCTGATTTTGAATTCCATTGGCATATTGCTCAAGAGAAGTATTTGTAAAAGCTGATGAAATATAAAACTGAAGGAGTTTTATCGTTTAAGTACCAAGGATTTATGAATTTTGCGTATAAAGGGAACTTAATTTATTATATTAGAATTATTGGGGGAAAAAAGTTGGTCTGAGGATGTTATTTATTTACCGTGAGCTTAAATTTTACCACATATAATTGTTTTTTTTAACCTTTATAATTGTTCAACTAATAGTCAAATAATGTTATTATAGGATCACGTTACATTATTTTTGAATTGTTCAGAAAAATATTGCGCCAATGATACTACATATCCTTTTAGACAAACTTTCGGAGCAAATTCGCTTTCTAATCTAACCGAAAAGCATATTAATATTGCAACGTGTATTGGGCAATGTGCATTGAGAACCTGGTGAATTACATTTGAAAAAAAAAAAGAAGAAGAGAAAATTGTACCTTTAACAATTTTATTAGCGAGAATGAGATACGGCTACAACATTTGTAGAGTACTAGTAGTTTCTATGTATAAAGATATATCAAGTCCTTATTAATAAAATTATCAATTATCAATGAAAACTTTTTTCCGATTTTCTTAAAAAAAAGTATTAATACCAAATAACATCCAAATGCTCTTAGAAGAAAGAAACGATAAGTGATTATTATTTAAGATTAAGGCACATCTATCACTCTAAAATATTTTGTCAAGTCCATCTAGTACTTTAAAATATTTTTTGGTGTGTCTAGTAACTTGAAATATTTTTCAGATACATCAAATACTTTAAAATATTTTGTAGTGTAATTTTACTCTTAAAATATTAACTTTTCATTTCATGAGCAATTTTAATTTTGTCATTTAACTCCTCGAAAAGGTTTGTTAAATGCATGTCTACCAAACACCATAAAATATTTTTCTTTAGTATTTTTCAGAGTGCTGGACACATATAAAAAAATTATTTCAGAGTGTTGAATATCTACAAAATATTTTAATTTTCTGTGTGTTACCCTATTATTTATTATGAAGAGTTCACTTTCTTTCAACTCAATCTTGTCAATTACTACCTCTGGTCCTAATTATAAGAGCCAATTGACTAATTTGAGAAGATTAAGGAAGTAAGTTGAGTT